ACCCCGCCCATTTTGCCACAGAGCTGAAATTTCAAAATTAAAGACCGTAATAAGAGAAAGCAGCAACAACCCTGGTAAGATCATTTTGTTTCTTTAGTCTTAATGAAGTTGATTGTGTGTTAAGCGACTGCGACTCACTTTCACTTTGATTTGCGATAGTTTGTACGTTGGCTTGATGAATACATGCTCAGCTGCTCATCTGCAGTGAGTGTTGCAATAGTGTCATCATATCTGACTATAACATGACATATAGCCTATAACACGCTCTCACGCGTTTACTTTTTACCATTTTTGGGAGGAGTAAAATTTACATTATTCACCAACCAGATGCATTTACACTTTTCCAGTTTCGTTTGGAATGCGGCCCTGACTACCTCCTGATGTGGATTCAAATCCGGATTCAAATCCCTCTCAAACGCATTTTGGGGGGGCATTACACGTGGTCTTTTCATGATCAGATAGCTATCTGATCACACAGAAAATGCAAAATCCATGTGTAAACAGCCCCAGAAAGAGCCAGAGTGAAGGAGAGTCGGTTTTTAAAAATTCCCCCGCAAATGGCCTATCATATTTTGCCGAACACTGTGGTCCTGTAATAATATTAGTCCCGTGCGAATCAGCATCTGTGTGATTTGGCAGGGTTGTATGTAATTTTTTCAATGTTTTTGTTTCCTGTGCGCTTTATCCATCTTTCGCAAATAATGGAGTGTTTTGATAGCATTTTGTTATATATGAAGAGTTCAGATGCAAAAGCCTCTAAATGCCATTTGAAATTTTCTTCTTTAATGATGATTTTTATCAAGCTTGTATATTTAAGTTCAGTAATTTTACTTAAATGGCAATGATAATTACCTATTAATTGTTATTTAAGTGAAATTACTGAACTTAAATATACAAGTTTGATAAAAATCATCATTAAAGAAGAAAAGTTCAAATGGCATTTAGAGGCTTTTGCATCTGAACTCTTCACACAATAGATTTATAAATCATAACAAATAAAGGCTTGAAATATCCCACTTTGCACGTAATGAGTCTATATAATATATTAGTTTCACCTTTTAAGTATATATATATAAATTTAGATGTAATGTGATTTCATGATGATTGTTAATTTTGTAATATTCTAAATATCACACTCTTGGTAACTTTTTTAATTACATATGTATTATAATAACTCAACAATCGATTTCCGTAGAGGAGCTGTTACACTACAAAAAAAGTGTGATAGCTAAGTGGGAGACTGTTTTTGCACTTTTTTTGTGAAACAGATCTGGGATTCAAGCTACATTATCAGGATTTATCATATAAACTCGTTTAACACACACACCACATGCAAAAGCAAACAACAAACCCTGACAGGCACCATTAACTATGTACACACTACACAGCTAACTTCTTATGCTTCTTATCTTTCTCCTCCGAGCTTTGGATACATAGCAGCTAATCCACACAAGAAAGATAAATTTGGCTCTTTCATTTGATCAGACGAAGCAAGAGAGGTGTGCTACTGTAGCAATGGAAAGAGTGAGGCATTGTGGGAGCATCTTTTCCTGCCAGCTCCAGTCCATTCATCAGGCTAATCATAGCTAGCACTGTGCTAATTCAAAACCAGTTCAGTGAATCAGCACATACTAAAACAGCTCAGAGGGCAGATTATGAATCAGGTTACACTGTAACCATTCAGTGTGTAGTATGTGTGAGGTAAAGCTAACGTGTTATGTACAGTATAAATTAGGTCAATGTACAGTTGTGTATAGTTTTTTAATTATGTCATAATGCGATTTTAAACTAAGCTTCCATGAAGAAAGCAGTTGCTAGCAAGCAGCAAGATAAAACTAGAAGGACATTTAAGGGATACGGTACAGTCACACCATTTCACCACATAAATGATTATAGGGATTAAGAGATACTGATTTAAGATGAAATCGTTTTAAAATCTTACCCATTTGTGGTCTTACCCATTACTGTGTGCAAAACAATTGTTGCAAAATGCAGCAGCTGTGTTTGTATGACACAAGAGAGCGAGTCCACCATATCTGAACGACATAATTAAACAATTGTTGTCAAAATACTGATTTGAGTTTTAATATTTTATTTGCTCACTAAACGCAAAACTTCCATGAAAAACAAAATTGTTCATAGCAAGCGTATAGCTCTGATTTCAGTTACCCGGGATGAGCCAGTGTTATCAGGTTTTACCAGGTTTTATCAGGAATAACATACTGCTGGCTGGCACGATTGACCAATCAGAATCAAGTATTCCACAGAGCTGTCATATGTATATAGCGTTTTGAATATGAAAGGGAAATTTATTCATTTGTATGACCAAGGTAAGGTTTGAGCACTGTCCTAGAATCACACTAAAACAAACACACAGATGAACTGAGCTGTGATTAAAACGATACAGCTCTTTAGTCAAACACAAACATAGCTGTTAGCGTTTAAAACAAGCAATGAGAATGTGTTGAAATAAATGTTCATCAGAACATTTTGGTTCAGTCTTCATCATATTTCTCTGACAGAAAAGGGACAGTCCGTTATACAGCAGGCATAGAGAAACTGGCCAATAATGCAAAATTAATGCAATTGCAAATGTGGATTTAGGAAGCTGGAGTGATGCTTAGAGGTAACAGAGTGCATTTAAATGAAGGTAGGCCACACACACACACACACACAGAACCAGAGTAAAAAGAGGGTTAAGGCCCCAAAGTTAGCAGCAGACGGCCCCGCTGTGAGCAGTCCACTAAGAGATGTTATGATGCTGGATTTCATCAGGCAGAGTGTACGGTAGAAGAAAAAAGTAAAAGGGATTGTTGATGGATTTCTTTTGATGAATGGCAGATGCTTCCTCTATTAATAGCATATCACATACAGTAAAGACTCCACATACCCAATCTAAAACACATTAACACACAGATAGAGCAGATGGCAAAGCCCTGCATTCCCTCATTCACATCACTCTGCAGACCTCTCATTATGGCTAATTATAGACTTTTCACAACTCATCTTGTTTCTTGTTAAATGTTTCACAAATAACAAACATCACCCTGGGTTAGCAACAAATCACAGGTAGCTCATTAAAGACAAGCATTAAATGGAAAAAGAAAGGCATGACACATCTACATCACCTGTTTACTGGCAACACCTTCCCTACATTTACAAAATTAACTCAGAAATTTAATTTACTTAATTTTATTTATTTAATTTAAAAAGAATAGTATTAGTATTACTTGACTGGCCCCTCCTTTTTTACCGCCCATGCCCCCAATCCCTTCTGTCATGCAAAATAAATATGGTAGACGGATATCTGGGCTGGAAGTGGTGTCTCTGGCTAGGGAGCTAACAAGTGCACACCAGGGTCTAAGCCACAGATTATATTATTATTACCAAAAAAACAAAAACAAAGGGGCAAACAAACTTGACTTATGTCCTGTCAGGTCACAACCAGACAACCATGCGAGCTTGGTCTGGAGCTGCCTGTTATGATGCCCTGTCTTACTTGCGGAGGCTTAACTGTTGTGATTGGGTGTTACTGACGGTGGGGGGGTCTATGTCACGGAGGTCTGTTGGTTGTGCACACCGGCAGTGGTAGAGTGGCTCCCAGGCCTAGAGGATAGTGTATATTCACAATAATTTTATTGAATGATCTATATGTATTATTATATTACTGTTATTATTATTATAAATACAGTGCTACCACTACTCCTACTGTTATTACAGTATCATGAATGCTGTATATTGCCACTGCTTACTGCTACTATCGCTACTAATTTTATCTTTGTTATAATTATTATTGTTAGTATGAATACTGCCTCTACTTCTACTACATTCTATTACAATTACTACAAATATCACTTCTAAGTTCTATCTATATCTCTAAAATATCCCATTGCTTAAACTTACCAATGTAAGTTTTTGTGCTCCATGTATGTCTGTCTTTCTTTTGTATACAATTCACTGATCTTTAAACTTGTATAAACTACAATGTTAACTTGCAATAAAAAAGACAAGCAGCAACTTGAAAGCGAAAATAATGGTATAATGGCATTTACTGCGAGCATTGCTGAACATTTGCAACCCGAAAGCTGTTAAGCTTTATGTAAGAGGTCCTAAAGTGTCACCGCCAACTAAAGCACATTAAACATGATCAATATTAAAGTCAACTAGATCTGATTGTCATTTGTGTCCATAGCTCAAGAAGTGCAAGAAATCTCAAACCCCAGAGTATGAGAATTGAAACCGTAATGCTTGCCTAAACAACACTAATAGTCGTTTTTCAATCAGCTTCATTTAAGAACAGATCTAACACAGTAAGACACATTGTGTGGTACATCTGGTGAAAAGTGAAAATCTAAATCTGCATTACATCATTAGAAATCTGTCTGTTCCAGTTAGGCACAAATGAGCCAGTGGCTATTACTTTCTCATCCAAAACTGCAACCCATTTTCAAAAGCTGATAATTATACCTGTGGAGACCTTGGTTACATTCAAATTGCAACAGATTAAATAGGCCAAAACTATTCAATTTATAAAGCAATTGAAGTAATTAACTGAGAGAGAAGATGTCTGTTCATCTCTCACCAAAGCACGACCAAGAGAGAATCTAACAAGGAGTTGCAAAAATTCTGAGTTGGGCTGCTCAACTACTATAAAAATCCTAATCGCAATTGATTTGGTCAATAACAATATAGCAATAGCATCAAGTCAGCATTATCTGGGCGGCAGTGGCTCAGTGGTTCATGTAGGTTGTCTACAAAGCAGAAGGCAGCTGGATGGCGCCTTGTATGGCTGACACCGCCGTCAGTGTGTGAGTGAGTGAATGTGAGGCAAATGTAAAGCGCTTTGGTGGCCATTGGGTCCGTGAAAGTGCTATATAAATGCAGTCCATTTACCATTATCTTGATTATCGCTTTTTTATAATCGTTGGAAACCAAAATCAAAATTAAATGTGCTTAAATCGCACAGCCCTAATTCTTAAAACTAGCAACTCCTCACTTACCTCTCTGATTTTGTCCCTCTTTTCCTTGGTGTCAGGATCCCCTGGGTCACCATCATTGACCCCTACCAGTTTGGGCATGGGTACTGGAGGCAGTGGTTTGGGACCGTCTCTCTTTTTCAAGTCCTCAGCTACCTTGGTCTTCTCTGTTTGGATCTCAGCCTTCAGCTCCTCTTTGGATTTGCGGAGCTTTTCCTTGGCTTCCTGCAGTGCCCGCTCATGATCTGCCCGGATCTTGTCACGAAGACTCTCCTCTTCCTCCCTGCAGATGCACAATGAAATATATGAGAGTTACTTTAATTACAGTTTATTGTTACTAATATAGGAGGTGGAACATTTATATTATTACATATTACATTTATATGATAGTAATATATTATTATTATATTACAATTTATTTGATATAATTTGATTAATATTATAGAATGTATTATTTTCATATTATATACATTTAGTTAATGTAATTATACATGTATAAATGTCATACATGTAATGCAATGTATACTATATACTCCTAAATACTTAGTTTCAACACTATACTCTGTGTACAGGGGCAGTCGTGGCCTAACGGTTAGAGAGTCAGACTTGTACCCCGAAGGTTCGTTCGGGACCGGGAGGGGGGAGAAGGAACAGCGTTCTCTTCCACCCTCAATACTCACGACTGAGGTGCCCTTGGGCATCTACCCCCCAATCGCTCAGCATCAAAAATGGCTGCCCACTGCTTGGGGTGTGTGTGTCTATGCCATGGTTTGCAGTGTGTGTGTCTATTATGTGTTCAGCAGTCCTCAGCCTGTGGCTGAGCCTGGTTAGTACCAGGATGGGAGACCTACTGGGGAAACCCAGGCTGCTGATGGAAGAGGTGTTAATGAGGCCAGCAGGGTGTGCTCACCCTGTGGTCTGTGTGGGTCCTAACGCCCCAGAGTAGAGATGGTGACACTATACTGTCAAAGAGCACAGTCCTACAGATAAAATGTAAGTCCTGATTCTCAATGGTCACAAAAAAATCCCAGGATGTCTTTTGAAACGCTTTCATACTTAGCCTTCACGTCACTTTATATGTATGTATTCCACCCTACTAACAACAGTACACTAACAGCAAACCTGATTGATTTATAATCAAATTATTGGAATTAATTCATAGAGATTTTCACAAAAAAATGTATTAACAAACAATATTATTGTTTTGTTTAGTATGTATTAATTAAGAGCAATTATGGAGTGTGGGAGAATGCACAGGAGACTCATCATATACTATTATCTACAAGGTAACATAACAACGCCTCACACACTCAAACACACACAGGGTGGAGACAGAAGATATTTAGGTCTTGTGAATCAATGAAGCACAACAAACTAAAGAAAGAGCAGAAGGGGATTGCAAGGAAAAGAGGTCAGATGGATACAGTGACAGAGACAGTGATATGCCGGGGTGACGCAGGTCATCTCAAGACTGGTTCATTCATTGTTACAGCCTGGAAATGTTTGCCAGGTGACAGCGAGACGTTTTGTCACTCTTCCCCATCCAGTCTCACTGTCTCCTGGTATCTTTTCTAAACTATAATGGCGCCGCTTAACAATCATTTGGATGCATTACTTACAATATATATAGACAATTTTTACCCACTATTTTGCATCAAAGTACTTGATTAGATTAAGAGATACATGCGATGGACAGTAACGTTGTCATACCAGAGCATAAAGCTGCAATTACAGTAAAGTGGGTGCTGATGTGAGCATTTCTAATGCGGGGGTTAAATGGCTAGTCTGCAAACAGGGACATGCACGAGTTGGAAAAATGTGGGCACTAATGGCTCCTTACGAGGGACATGAGAGCAAAGGGTCTCACTAATGACAGTAAACACCAATAAAACTCTGCACTGCATTAGAGTACAGACATCTATAGTCTATGGTAATGCTCCATTATAATGGATTCACCTACAAATCTCAGCCTGCAACCATTCGCTCCCACTCACATTATTCTTGTGGCTTTTTGTTGCCCTGCAGACTCTCTCTATTTTTGAAAGGCTTTTTCAAAGCTGCGGTAGAGTCTAGGTGATTTCATGGAAGGCTCATAATGTCAAACATGCAATTAGAAGCATGTCAAAATTAGTTTGAATCAATTACCCCAACTGAGACTAAGTCAGTCCAGGGCAAATCAAAGTGTAGCTGAATTAACATGTTTAGTTCAATCCATTCTGTATGCTACTACTTTTCGTCAGCAATTCCATTATTTACAGGCATTATGTGAACCCACCTACATCATTCCTAAAAGCTCTAGACGGAATATTCTTTGAAATGTAATGTCATTACATAAGCTCCGTGTAAGAGAGTTAACATCAAGAAAACCTTAAAGAACATTTTGACATATTTAATCTATAATGATTAATGAATCTAACTAATGATGCATACAGGAATTGTCTGAAAATGTCTAAATAAATGTTTGTTTGTTTTTTTGTTTTAAATCCATACTTTTTGACCTCATTACTGTACTGTTGCTTCTATAGCTCTCCTCATTTGTAAGTTGCTTTGGATAAAAGCGCCTGCTAAATGATTAAATGTAAATGTAAACGAATACAGCGAGATGGTGTTGTTGTATAATGGATGTTAGATAGCACTGCCATGCCAACAGAACACTGGTAAATTCAGCAGAGCTTGCCATTGTAAACAGATAAGCACTTATTATATTACACCCACCATGAGCAGGTGTTAAGATGCTCAGCTTCCATCAGTTGTGTGCGCTCAACACTATCTACCATCAACAACCCACACATCCTTCAAACCTCAGCTTCTTCTCAAGTCAAAGCTTATCATGGAAGTACACCAAACACTTTCTATAGCAGAATGGGCCCAAAAGCACTTTTGGTGCAGTTATCCCCCATGTGTGGCTTTAGGTATAAAGCAGGTTTTCATTCTGGTACAGCAGATTAATTCTGTACGCCTCAGGAGACCCAATCTATCTCAGACAGACCCATTCCTCAGCCCCATCATTAGGCTTTGATCAGGATTCATTTTCTGTCTTCCTCACATACAGAGAAAGAAAAGAAATAGCCTAAAGACAGAGAGAAATGCAAAGAGAATGAAGAAACACCTATAGAAATCTGAAGCATCAAGGACAGCTTGAAGTATTCAGCTGTGTTATTGAGGAATAAGAGGAACACACTGCTTAACTCGCCCACTGATACATACGGAGTGCTTTTCATTAGTATGTAGTGTAGTACAATGTCTGCAAATGTTTATGTGAACATACTTGCACATGATTCCCTTGAGAACTGAGCTCATTTTCAACAAAATACAACCAACATCTGCGGAGCCACGTGGCTGCTGGCCCATTTCACAGAAACTAGAAAATAAGGTCAGCAACTCATATTTCCAATATAGAGTTCAGGAAGGGCCTTCTTCCTCACTCTTCCCACCATCCATCACTTTCTAGCCCCATCTTGCCTTTCAAGAGTTCAAAGATACTACGCTGTGTGGTGGTTTCTTTCTGTATCACTCTCAGCCTGAAGCTGCTCTGGGGAATAACAGCCTCCTGGTATCAAATGATGCATACAGGTCTGACTACAGCCTTTAAGTGGACAGGACTTGAGCGAAGCGGAGCCTCTCTTTATTCCTTCCTACATTTTTCATGTCTCTCTTTAAAAACAAATCTCTTATCTGACTTCCATTCCTGTCCTATTTGATGTAAAGCTGCCTCATGAGGATGGACAGCTGTGTGCAATGGACTTGCATGATATGTAATGTTGCCATCTTGACTCATTTTATCAGACAAAAATGTAGACATTTGTACAAAAAATTGGATTAAAGATAACTTTTTTTTCGTTTGAGATGATAAATGGATGCCATTCATGTGAAAAAGTAGCATACTTGTATTTGAAATGTTGATCTTAGCATAGATCTAGGCAGTATAGATCAGTAGTTTTGAAACGGGAGTTCATTACTGTTTCAATTTTGTTTCAATTTCAATTTTATTGTTGAGAAGGTCGATGAAAAGCTACAGCTCTCCAGGCAAAAATGTACAGGTCATAGTGTAAACTTGATAAACGCATATCGTTGCCATCACCGTTTGGTGCTACAGTATTTACATGAATCATTCAGCACTACATTGTTAACGTTTGTTATCTTGGTTATTTACAGATACGTTAATGAAGCTAAGTGACATGATGTACAACACAGCTAGAAGCTAACGTTAACGTTTTCTAATGTACATCTAACGTTAGGGATTTTAAAGATAACGTTCAAATACGTTGTTGACTTAACTTAGATCAGATGTAGACATCCTTGTTTAATTTATCCGTGTTGGTTTAGTTGGTGTTGTGGTCTACCGCATAACTTAATCACATAACTTAATCCAGAGCAGACACTTCTTGGTTGAGATGTGGCTTGGGAAAGGGCAAAAGAAACACACAACGAACCTAGAGTCAGAGTTGCATGTACCCCATACACACCGTTTGACCATTTTAAACTTTACTTTGGCTATGCTTTGTTAAAAAAATATTTTAAAAAAAATTTGTGTTTATTATGTTATGAGAGAGGAAAGAGCTTATCACACTTACATATTCATCAGATGATCATTAGCAGTATATTGTTGGTCACGCATTTCAAACTTTGTTTCACCCCTAGGCGAAGAATGAAAAATAATTTGCTGCGAGTATAGCGGCTGCCTTTACATTGTATTCCCATTATCACTATGACGCTGAACTTGATTTTAACCACCGATTTAGCTCAGAAAGATGATCTGTAATCTTTTCGCTTGGTCACAACAGCTGCCCCCTTTCTTAGCACTAACTACAATGAAACTAAATGATGTTTTCTGCGATAATAATACCCATTATCACTTTTTTGAGGAGCACATCGTCTGGCTGTTTCTCTGCTCTAATAGAAACAAGCCTCTAATAAAGTGCCTGAGCTCAGACACTTCAAATGAATCTGCCTCTTACTAAAGCTTTGGCAGGGTGGGTACATTTTTCACTCAGATTCAATCTCTAACATGCCATCAAACGTAGCTCATCCAATTTAAACAGTATCAGGACTAAAATTGAAAAATAAACTGTCAGGTTTAAGAGAAACGGTCTGGTTTAGCTCAAGCCGAGCACTTTTTCGCTTTTAGAGGAGCCTTAAGCTCCATGTCAGGTTGGCAAGTGTGAGCGCTAACTCAATTAACGCGAGTCACAGGGCATCTGTTACATCAGCTCGCCACAGTGACACACTTACTCGAAGAACATGAGCCACGTCCACTAATTTTACAACGACTCGGCCGGCCAA